TATATATTTATTTCTTATACAAAGTAGAATTTTTCAAAATGTTCTGGGGTACTTTAAGTACTGGCAAGTTTTATTTCTCATAAACTTTCCTGGGTTGCAGCCCCTTCCATCGTAGGTACAGAGACTTGCTTCATTTATGACACACATGTTGGGAGGTTGTCGCCAGTTGCATGACAGGGCAAGGAAATGGGGAAAATACAGATATTGAGCATTACCTTAAATGTGGCAATTGACAAATAAGCGTTGGGTGGTAGCCCAGTTGCCCTAGCGCACATAAGCTGATTAATATATGTATTGTGGTGACAAAAAAAACGCTATAAACACCATAAACTAGAACTTTTTCTAATAATAATCTAAAAATAATAAAATGTTTAAGCTGTATCTTTGAAGGAAATTTTATTTTCCTTGTGATTCCTGCAATTGGACTTCATTTTCTCCTACATCTTCCTGTATAAATCAGATGGCAGTGTATCACTTGGGCAGAATTCTTCCGATACTCTCAGGCTTTTTTTGGCCATCTGTAGAAACTGATGGCAAGAAATGACAGCGATCCAAGGAGAATGTGTTCCGAAGCCAATATGCATTATATAATTGTTTTATTTGTTTACTTACAAGCACTGACAATTTATGTGGCAAACTTGCATGGTTCCCCTCTCCCCATGGATCCCTGCAGCAATCCTGTAATTATAGGCTGAGCTAAAAGGCCGGCCAAAGGAAAACAAGTGAACTGTACAAATCCAGCCCTCTAATGTTTGCACTATATTGTCTCTCTCAGATGAGTGCTTGCTATCTAAACAACATCAAAGATGAAACTTACTGGTAGGGAAAAAACATCAATTATTAATGAACTTTCTTTTCATAATGTGCATTTATGCAAATTAGACTGTCTGGATTTGGAGCACTGGAATACGGCACCCCTAAGTTTTACAGTTCCTTTCAAATGCTAGAATAAGAACTGTCCAGATCATTGCTTGAGGTGAAGAGTATTTGTTTAGCTTACAGGAAGCTCCAAATTGGACTGTTGTTACTTTAAGCTCCCACCCTATCCCAGTGTCTAAGAAGTTACTGTTCTATATACAGTGGTGCCTCGCAAGACGATGTTAATTCGTTCCACGAAAATCGCTGTTAAGTGAAAAAATCTTCTTGTGAAACGCATTTTCCCATTGAAATGCATTGAAAACCTAAAAATCGCCATAGGAAACATTGTTAAGCGAAACGCGTTTCCCAAGCGAAGACAGCCATCTAACGAAACAGCAACCGTTAAAAGACCCATCTAGCGAAGCAAGACCAAGCTGTTGAAAACGTTGTAAAGCGAAAAACAGGGACCTAAAATTTAATTGTCTTGTGAGGCAAGGTCCCTAACATCGTAAAGCGAAAATAGCCCATAGGAAACATCGTTATACGAAGCGCAAGATCGCTCCGAAAACCTCATCGTAAAGCGAATTTGTCGTTAAACGAAGCAATCGTCTAGTGAGGCACCACTGTATTTAAAAACTGTAGCTGGCAGCTTTGTAACTTCCCTGTAAGATACAGTATGTGTGATGGCTTGGTTCCAATATGTGTCTTTAAACCTCTGAGGCATTTCTCCAATAGAATAGGGGGACTAATTTAACATTGATCCATACTTACTTGTGTGGAATGCTATTTTTCAAAACAAAAATCAAACAGAAATCAAAGAGTTCTCTCTTGTGTGTCATTAAATAGAGTGGATCATCAGGAACCTGATCCACCCCCTGCTGCAGTGCCCAGAATCCTATTGCTCAGTTACACAAAAGGTGTAAATTTTAGCAGCAAGTAGCTACAAGTTTTTAAAAATAACCATAGGCATTATCTGTTGCACTCTTGAGTTGTACAAGTCAGTATGCAACAGATAGTGCCACTAAGCAGCATTATTTTGACCATTTAATCTTAATTGGTGTGTGTGTGTGTGTGTGTTCTGTGCTGTCAAGTTGGAACCAACTTATAGTGACCATAATAGGGTTTTCCGGGTAAGTGAGATATTTAAGGAATGGTTTTGCCAGTTCTGCTTTCCCCCAGTGAGTTTCCATGGCTAAGCGGTATTTGAACCCTTTTCTCCAGAGCCCCATTACTAATATTGGAAACTGGAAACATTGGGGGGAGTCCAGACATCAAATTTTTTAGCTGAGCAAAAGTGCTGGGTGTTCTGAAGTTCCTATTCACTCTCTCCCACCAACAACTCTTCCTATAATTGAAGCTATAATGACTAGGGTATGAATATTGGCAGTAAAGTTGTCCATTCACAGCATGTTTCCCATTAACATATGGGGCAGTGGATTCCCCTTTTAATGAAGCAACCAGGTAAATTATTTTCTGCTGTTTCTAGTTTATGAGCAGTTAAATTGTGGGGAAAGCAGGTGTTGGATTTCTTAGGCCTGGCAGTGCCCCTCCTTGCCCTACGGCCCACAGACAAAGGCCCCTTGTTCTGTTGCCTTCATAAAAACAGAAAGCGCAAGAGAAGGAACAAAACCTTACCTTGCTAGGGGACTGCTGGAAGCTGAAAAGTTGAGCAAACACACAGGGACGTGGGAATCAGGGTCATGGTCTCATTTCCTTCCCTCTCCTGCCAATGGGGTGGGGGTGGGTGCGGAATGGAGTCTGCCAAAGCAAGGATGCCATAAATCTTGAACGGGGCTCATTCACTGTGTCATTTCAAGGGGATTCCTGAGCCCAGTCATCTCTATGATTGAAATGAACTGCCTCGGGTATACACTGGTAAGTATACAAACTTCTATGACCACAAACCTGTGTGCTTTTTAAACTAAGCATGACCAAATGAGGCATGTTTCTGTGAAAGGATTAAACGAGACTGGGCCTGGGTTTCCCTCTCTCCACTCAGCACAGACACCAGAGAAACCGCAAGTGAAGTGCTGTAGGATACTTTGGGTAAGAAGGAGAGAAGGGAGGAGTAAGGATGAGAGGATTCTGTGGTGCCCCTGGGTGGGTTTCCTGGCTCAAGGGCAGTCCTACAGTTTTTGTGTGTTTCCATCTCTCCCTCCCTCTCTCCCACACATACACACGGGTACCAGTGACAGGCTAAGATATTATCAAGAAGCTACCAAAAGAGTCTGGATTGATCTGCAAGTCCACAGATTTACTCTAGCAAATCATTCCAAACAACACTTCCTGTTCAATTTGTGATAGAGTTACCAAAGAAACATTCTGACCTAAGGCCTGCTTTGAAGCTATGGTAGCTGTTGCCCCCCCTCCCAAAATACCATCAGTGCTGTATGTGACAGGTATGTTACACAGAAGCATTAAATTGGGAATTCATTTTCTGGGAGCGATTCAGGACTGTGCAGCTTGCCCAAGGCTATGCAGGTTGGCTCTTTTCTCCCAGGAGGCAGAGCAGGGAGTCAAAGGCCTAACCTCTGGCTCTGTGGCCAGGTAACCAGCTCACTGAGCCAGCCTCTTGTTTCATAGCTTAGGCAGTTCTATCCCAGCCTCAACTGTTCTGCTTCATCTCTGGCTCTGTGGCCAGGTAACCAGCTCACTGAGCCAGCCTCTTGTTTCATAGCTTAGGCAGTTCTATCCCATAAGGGTCCAGCCTCAACTGTTCTGCTTCATTTCGTGGGTGTCCATCCAGTTTTCAACACCCCTTCCTAATCTGACAGTTACCTAATCATGCTGAAGACCAGCTTAATGGTGTTCTGCTCAAAAGAACAGGAAGAATAACACCGGACCAAGACAGGCTCCGTCTTATTCCCTATCTTGTTTCCGACCACAGATGTCCCAGACAGACCTCCCACGTTGTTTATTCTAGGATTCAGAGATACAAGTGGGCCCAGGAACAAAAAGTTGCCATATATCCTCAACCCCTAACAGAAGAATGCTTGTTTAAGGTGCCTGCCACCCAGCTGCTACCTCTTCCAGGATAATGCAGATGGTGTCATGCCATTCTCTCCTCCCCTCTTGATTCCCCCTCCCCCCCCCATTCCAGGTGATGCTTATTTTTCAGGGCTAGGGATATACTGGGTAGATATTTGGGTTGTTTTGAGGGGCTATCTAAGAGGGGTGTGTGAGGTCTGTATTGTACATTCGTAAGCCTCAAAGATTCCCCAGGCATACTGATGCCTCTTGTTCCTCAGCAGCTCCAGTCTTGAGTTTGCTGTTGGAAGGAAAAACAACAGCCTCTGCAAAACACAGCCCTGCCCTGCAAGCTGGGTAGTCAATTTACCAACCTCAGAAGGAGGGATGACTGAGTCAACCTCAAGCCAGCTACCTGAGCCCAAGATCAAACTCTGGTCCTGAACAGCATGTGACGAGGCAGTGATTTATGCATGATGAGTCAAGAGGCACAAGCTGGTTATCCACACTGCCATAAAACCAAACCAAGGAAAGGGTTTTTTTTGGGGGGGGGAATTATGATGATGATGATCATCATCATCCACATTCAGGAAGGCACACAGTTCTTCTGGAAATATTATCCCTGCATCACTCGCTCCCCCTAGTGTGCCAGGGGGAAGCGAGGCATGGCTCAGAAGGAAGGATGCAGGTCTTTTATAAAAGGCTGATGCTTTCCTCCAGGTCAAGAGCAAATAGAAACTGCTGAGATGAGCATGTGGGAGATTTGAGGGGCTTTATCTCAAGAAAGGCTTTAAGCAGCTGCTGAGCAAGCAAGTCAGAGCTAAAAGGGTCGGTGTGTTTGTGCTGTGGCTGCCGTGTACCTGGCTCTTGCTCACCTGCCCTTGTTTCACATCAGGTTGTTCTGAGAAGCCGATTCTCATGGGTGGCCAAATCCCCCAAGCTTGAAAGCTGGTGCTGCTGGCCAAGAGTTGGGGGAGCAATGAGTCGCTGATTTCTTAAAGCATCTCAGAAGGCTAGTCCAGGAAGGCTCTGCCTCCATACTGGATTCTTATTCCACATCCTAGGAAAGGGCCAGGCTAAACAAAAAACAAAATTAAAACCACAGCAAGAGCACCGGGAAGGACACAGAGGGCTTTTCTTGGGAACCCCCAGTTTCTTGCTGTAGACAAAGGGCAATGGGAGCCGGTGCTAGTGTGGAGGCGAAACACTCCCGGGAGCTAGAGAAGAAGCTGAAGGAAGATGCTGAGAAGGATGCCAGGACAGTCAAACTACTGCTTCTTGGTAAGTGCTCCCTTAAAGCACATCACCAAGGCCTTATTCTTGGTGGGACAGATATGCTAGTGGTTGTGTCCCCCTTTACTTCCTGCAGGCACACACTCTCTCCCTTCTTAGCTCAATGCTGTGCTTGTGGAACTTGTGGGCAAAGGGTGCCGATTGCTGCTTTCTGGGAAAAAGCAAGCTCTTGGTGCCATGATGACCCAGGACATCACCTTACCCCTCACCACCCTCACAAAGACAATGGCCTAAATCTAACTGCTAGCCCCAATTAGAGTTCTTAGTCCCATTTAGTAAACTGTTGAGTGAGATAGTGCCTAGGTAAACGACTGTATGGGTTTACAGTCATTGAAAACAACAGTTGTATTCAGACCAGTGTGTTGTAGCTTTATATCCGAGTTTGGGGCATGCAGTTGTAGGAAAGCAAGTGGCTCCTTGAAAATGCTTTAAAGTGCAAGTCCTTGAAAGATTAGAACTACAGTACATGGATTGGGAGGGGGATACCTGCTTATCTTAGAGAAGGTTGAAGGAAGATTTTCTAGTTTCATCACCAGTGATCTTGATAGCTCTGTAATTGAAGCTTATGCCATCTCATATCACTAGTGCTTTCTGGATTCTTAAACTGATTTCCTTAGACATTCGGGGCCCATACGTTTTGATTCTGCCTTTGTTCCTTCACTAGTTTAACGGGGCCCATACGTTTTGATTCTGCCTTTGCTCCTTCGCTAGTTTAACTTGACTAGTTTAGCTTGACAAGTCATATGACTCTGACTCCTAGTTGCTTTTAATGTGCAATGACATATTCTGCTTAAAGTTAGATGTAAGAGTTAAAAGGCAAGTGTGACCATAACTTAAGCATGTATGCCCATATGGCATTATAACAAAGCATTATTGCATCTTTGGCAAGGCTTGCTTAGGCAACTGGTTCAGTTTATTTATTTATTAGTACTCAAAGAATCCCTCAGCCATGGCCACTGGTCCTGTAGGTTACAGGATTCTGGGACTATCCAAAAAGGAACAGGTCCACATTCAGGAACTGGATCAGTTAACTCTTGACTGGTACTTCATTAAGGCCTATCAAAGGGTTGCCTGTTCAGAGTGTGGACTGTATTGTTGTGAGGGATTGCCTTTTTCTCATAAAACCACTTGTCCAATTTTGAGATATAAGAAGAAGAGACTGGCCAGGACCAAGCTGGTTGTGCTACCAGTAAGAAAAGCAATTGTGTGCATTTGTGAAGCGGCTCTCTGAAGACCAAAGGAATATAGGAAGGTGGCATTGAGAGTATGATGTTGCTGGACCATTCATCTGTACTCATCCGGCGGCAGCAGCTGTTCTGCCTTCTAGCCACTTTGCCTCCGAGTACAGGAGCCGGTTCTCATTTGCAGCAATTGAAAGCTAGTTATTGCGAAGGTTCTGCTTCTCTAAACTATGGTTGGATAACATGTGGCAGATGGGCTGCATACAGACCCCATGACCCCCACAAGGTCCCACCAATTCACCCCGCCCCCATCATCATCATCATCATCATCATCATCATCATCATCATCATCATCATCATCATCATCATCATCATCATCATCATCATCATGTGCTATCAATTCAATTCTGACCTATGGCAACCCTTTTCTGGGTTTTCCAGGTAGAGAATACTCAAAAGTAGTTTACCATTCCCTTCTTCAAGGGGCACCTGGGACTGTGCAGCTTGCCCAAAGTCACAGGAGGCACAGTGGGGAACTGAACTCTCAACTTCTGGCTTCACAGTGAGATACATAAATCACTGAGCTATCCAGCCAACTCCCATTACTACATCCCATAAATAACATTTTGACAATAAAGTGGCACCACCTTGTCTCATGGGTGTAACCTTTCAGTCCTTTCCCGTTTTGGGAAAAAAATAGCTTTGTGGACTAAAACAGACCTAGAACAATGAAATTACATATGACAAATTGCTGCCTGCAAGACCTCTGGCAGTACAAATTCGCATTTGGGGAACCAATTTTCTTTCCTGGGATTTCAGGGAAATCAAAAGAGGGTCTATAATTTTTTTTTAATTTAGCATTTTTGGTGTATTTTATATTTTTAATAATTATATTTCAAAAGAAGAAAAGAAAAAGAGGATGCAAGGTCTCTTGAAAGTTGCCCACCCTACTCTGAAATAAGCAAGGGCTACTCAAAACTCAAATTGTCTGCCTTCAGATAGCAGAAGGAGTTCAGGTAGTTAGGTCCAGTCTCCCATCTTGAAACATACCTGATGTTTTTATAACATGGCATGCTAGCACAGTCCCATTTTCAATGTGGATATGTTGTAGCTAAGCTATCTATAACTCAGATCTTATTATCTCCACTATCAAGGTGAGCAGCTCTTAAGCCAATTTACCACAAAGCCTCGGGGCTGAGTAATCCTCCACAGTTCCCTTCCTGAATCACCAGCCAGACCTAGAGGGAAGTTTGTTATAAATTTGCCATGAGCCCTAGAGATAGGTCAGGAAATAGAGATAAGGAAAATGCTTTACAGCAGATCATTCAGAAGGCCACCATGTCTTTGTCTCAAGTGGGCCAGATATTATGATGTTGTTGTTTCTTAAAGGAGCAGCACCTACATAGATATTTTTCTTTCTTTCTGAAAGACAATGATGAAGTAATACCAGGAGACAGGAAGAGAGGGAAAGGGAGGTGTGGCGAGGCAGTACAGAAGATATCCTAGCCTGGTCTGTTCTTGCACAAGAGAAGACTGTATGCTGTGTTTGTGCCAAATTTCAAAGTTATAATTTTTTGTTAGGGTGCCCCCATTTTTAAAATTGTGCTATGGAATGCTGGTTTGCTCTGTTGCACAATATCTATTGCTACACTCTAGTGCAACAATAAGTAGCTTCCACCAAGCTACTTTTCAGCACACAGCTTTAGGGCTCACTGGAAAAGTAAAAGGCAACTCAAGATTTAAAACCTTCTCTTATGTGAAGTCCCCTCCTATGCTTCTGATAGAAATCAAAGTCTGTAAAATGAGGGCTTGTGCTCTGTTTTTCAAATCTTTCCCAACATAAATAAAATGCAAGGCCAGTAACTCATGGGATCCTATGCATGAAAACTAAGAAAGTTAACTCCGGCAGTTGTGTGTATTCTACCAACTCTAAGTAGATTCCAAAGTTTATTTCCCATATGTTAATGGTCATATAAATTATATAGTCTGCAAGGAAATAAGTCTCAAAACTGAGCTCTTCCTTATCCTAACACAGTTTTCAAATACTGTACAGTGAAAAAATTAATAACTTTGTAACATTGCAGAATTAAACTTCCAGGTTTGGTCTTGATGTGCTACAGAGTTGCATTGCAAAGAGTAGAATGTGCCACTTGAATGGAGAAAAGTACCATTTCTAAATCCATGCCCTACATAAATACTTACCTGTAAAAAAAAGTGGGGGCATGTGTGAAAGAACGATTCTAGCCTAGTCTGCTCTGTGCCAGAGCTTGTATGTGTTTATTTTTAAAACTATTTGATTTTTAACTCATTAAAAAGCTCCCAGAAGGTAAGCTTCTACCATCAATATTAGGGAGAAAAAAGGTATAGTAGCTAAAGATGGGGATGAATTTTAAAAACGGCACTTCATTTTGATCTGTCATTTGTCAAGGTTAAGGAACCAATGAATATGAATATGTCAATTCATCTGCATTTTAAATGGCTGGTCACTGCCATTAATGGGGGTCACTACCTCCAATGACCTAGAGGCACGAAATGATCAATATTAGGGAGAAAAAAGGTATAGTAACTAAAGATGGGGATGAATTTTAAAAATGGCAATTCATTTTGATCTGTTATTTGTCAAGGTTAACAAACCAATGAATAGGAATATATGAATAATCTTTGATGAATTGATTGATCAGTCAATTCATCTGCATTTTAAATGGATGGTTACTGCCATTAATCAGGGTCACTGGCCTCCAATGACCTAGAGGCACCAAATGTGCTGAGAAGCTTCCTCAGACACATTTCTACAACTCCTGAAAGTTTGGTGAACATTGGATCATGGACCCCCAAGTTATCCAGAATCACGATGGAGCTTCCTATGTCTTTCCCCAACATGCCTGCCAACATTGGTGAAGATTGGATATCAGAACTCTGAGTTATTCACCCACAAATTGGGTTCCCCTCCCCCCGGGAGAGTTTACTACATGGCACTGAGAGAGTTATACTTAGCCCCAGCAGAATGAGAGGTCCCTTTGGCAGAGGCATGCATGAGACATCGGATTTGTCTTCAGCTCAGTGCAACATTACATTTGCCAGTGAAGTAGAGTTTGTCCACAGGAGGACTGGAGGTATTTGGCAGGACAACAGGCTTTTTGGCTACCTACTGAGTTGGCGTGGGACTGAGTGTGTTGCCCCATCGGGCACTGCGGTAGTGGGTAGCAGCAAAGTACCATGTCTTGCCCCATCAGGCAGTGAGGAAGTTGGCAGCAGCAACGCAGAGTGTGTTGCCACATCAAGCACTGAGGTAGTTGGCTCCAAAGTAGGTGGGAAAGCATGTCTTAATAGGCATTGGGTACTGAGGCAATTGGCACCCAAAAAGGCTTTGCCCATTGGGGTGTAGTGGCAGAAATCTTCAACATCGATGAGCAAGAGGGTGGCATTTGCCATCAAGGTGGCATATGAAACACAAGCCTCCAGAAAGAATTAATTATTTATTCAAGTAAGCTGTTTTTGACTTCCAGGAAGGGCTCGGGTCGGCCCAGCCCTCTTGGCACGGGGAAGCCAGGAGGACAGCTTTGGAAAACCAGATGATCAGCTGTGCAGTCTGAAGCCGTGCAATGGTGTTGTCTGTTTTGTTATTGATGAAGAAAAGGGATGGTGGTTGTTGTTGGCACAAGATAAACTCTGCAGTCTCAAGCCGTGTGATGGGGCGATGCCTGGGCAGGCTTTTGGGCCCCATCGGGCCACTGAGATAAGTTGGGAGCAGCAAAGTAGAGTGTGTTGCCCCACTGGACGCTCAGGCACATGGCAGCCGGAAAGTAGGCTTTTTTGGTCCCATCAGGGCACTGAGGCAAAAGGCAGCAGAACAGACTCTGATCTTCTTCAGTAACATCAGATTTGCCTGCAAAAGGAAAGGTCTTTGCCCCCAGGAGGTAACTGAGGTTGCTTGCAACTTCCAACAGCATCATCAGATGGATAGGGTTGATGCTACTCACAGCGGTTAATCCACAGAGCCGCAGGGCTGTCAGAAACAGATCAGCTCTGCAAATTGAAGCCGGAAGATGGGACGACAAAGATGCTTGTTTAGAACTAGAAAGCTGGGGATTGCTTGCAACTTGGCTGCTAAGACTGCCCAGATATGATAAAGATAGCCCTCGGATGTTGTCCGTCTTGGCACAGGTTGAAAACCAGATGAGCTCTGCTGTCTGAAGCCGGGTGATGGGGCGATGTTGAAACCCAGATGAGCTCTGCTGTCTGAAGCCGGGTGAAGGGACAATGGGGCCATACCCGGACAGGCCTTTGGTGGGGCAGAGCAGACAGACATTTTGGAATGAAGCCCAAGTGGAAGGAGCTGCAGGATTAGGAAATTGTTCAAATGGCCAGCAACGTCATTGACTTTTTGTTCCATCAGACACTGAGGAAGTTCACAGCCCAAAAGGAGGCTTTCTTGGCCCCATTGGGGCACTGAGGCAAAAGGCAACTGCAGGAGACTCTGGTCTTCTTCTTCTGCAATATCATATTTGTTTGCAAAGTTATTTAAGTTTGTCTCCAGGAGGCAACAGAGGTTGTCAAAGCAACAGCAGGAGGAAAGGGTCCGACTACAAGGTGCTACTAACGGTGGTTAATCAGGGTGGCCGCTGGGCTTCTTGAGCGGAAGATCAGCAGTTCGAATCCATGCAATGGGGTGACCTGAGCTCTTGTCCCTTGTTCCTGCTTCTGCCTACCTACTGAGTTAAACTGCTGCTGAGCCACTAGGCTTGTTGAT